AAGGTGTCAGAAACATGCCAATCCTGTCAGATCTAGTGGGAAGGAAAGAATTAACAGGGGACTGGGCTCCCATGAATAACCCAGCCCTAAGGGCTTTGTGGATGATAACCAACACCTCAACATCTATCCAGAAATCTACTGGAAGTCAGTGTAGGTAATCCTAGTTTAGTGGCTACAGTTCAGGCTGAAATTCAGTCGTTAAGCGAAGCTGTGGTGTTCCAACACTGAAGCACCTTCATTGGTTTTTAAGAAGAGATTGGACAACCATTAGTAGGAAATGGTGTAGGATTTCCTGCCTGAGCAGGGGGTTGGACTCGATGACCTCCAAGGTCCCTTCCAACTCTGTTATTCTGTTGCTGAGTAAAACTGTGTCTATTCTTACAATCTTATTTCAGCCTTTCTTTGCTTTACAGAGCTGCGAAGGTTATAGGTGCGAGGATTGTTGCAAAGTTACATTTTATTGCCATCGTAACTGCAAATGGCCACTAAACGAGGCAATTGCTAAATCTGCTAAATCTGATAAATAATGGGGTTTGTCACCTTGCTGAAATTTATGTGCATCTCCTTGCTGAAATTTGTTTGGAGATCTATATCCCAGGGGTTTTGTTTTTGAGGGTAGTTCTGGCATTGACAAAACCTAATGAGACTTCTACAGAGAAGTCCTGTAGATGAATCTTATCCAGGGCTTTTTTAAGCCATTACATTTAAGAATGATCTCTAAGTACTAATGAGGCTGCCCTTATCTTGGGGTTGTGTTACTGTTCCACAAACCTCAAAAGATACTCTATATCAGGGGTGTCAAACTCACAACGTCACGTGACGTGTCGTGACGTATTGCGACTTTTTTTGCCATTGCCAGCAATGGGGCGGCTGCGGTTTCACTATGATGCATCCGGCCCGTGGGCCGACATTTGACACCCCTGCCCTATATCATTAGACTTTTTTCCCCCCAGTCAGCCTTACTCTGTCTTTTGGACAGGTATGTCAGCTATCTCCACCATCTTCCCAAAGCACAGAGCACTTTTGACTTTAGCATTCCTCCAGTGGCCACCAAAACTGGGAATGTTTCTCAATGGCCCATGCCTGATATTGGCATCTCCAGTTGCCAGCTACGATAATTGCCACTCACAATAAGTCTACAGCAGGGGTAGGCAACCTTGGCTCTTTTATGACTTGTGGACTTCAACTCCCAGAATTCCTGAGCCAGCATGGCTGGCTTAGGAATTCTGGGAGTTGAAGTCCACGAGTCATAAAAGAGCCAAGGTTGCCTACCCCTGGCTCTACAGACTCTTACCTGGAAAAATCCAGAGAACCGTTAGGTGGCAGCAAAGAGAAACAAGAGACTCATAACTCTCATCTGTTGTTCAAGTAACCCTAACTAGACAAACAATTGGAGGAACTAGGAGTAGATGATCCCATTCACCCCATCATGCCAAATTCTTCATCCTGGCTCATTTTCCCATGTATCTGTGCTTGTTTTAAAGTGCAGGAGCAGGCCAGTCTCCGCCCCCCCTTTTTTTTGGGCTACCTTTTTGGCATGAGAGGAGCCTTCCCCACCCTCCAGAACAATACACAGGCCAAAACCCCCAAGAGCACCAAGAAGGAAGTGCCTGTTTTTAGCAACAACAACAACAAAAAGAAAAGAAAAACGTGCAGAAAGGAGGGAAGATGGGGTCAGAAGGCAAGGAAGGAAATGGCCATTAAGTGTCTGTCTGCTGCATCCAGTGAGTTTTGATAGACCATCTGTGCCCCCTCAAAGGAACACTCCCCCGCCTCCCAACATCTCTGCAATACTCAGGCACATATCTGTAGAGGCTGCTTAACTGTAGACAGACACAAAATGTCTTTATTGTTTACTAAGCAATACTAAGCAATATATTCTTAAGGGGTGGCACCAAAGTGATACATGACTGATCAATAGATCAGGGATAGATATGCCTTTTGCTCCTTTTTAAGAATTCTTCAACTTTGCTTTGTTGACATTGAGAATTTTTGATTCCACCCTTCTTGCGTGAAAGGTTTCCCAACGTACAACATTCTTGCAAACAGTTCTCTTCCATTTACAGGTAGTCCTTGACTTACAACAGTTCATTCAGTGACCATTCAAAGTACAACAGCACTGAAAAAGGTGACTTATGACTGTTTTTCACACTTACAACCCATTGTAACATCCCCTTGGTCATGTGATCAAAATTAAGAACCTTGGCAACTACTCATATTTATGATAGTTGCAGTGTCCCATGGTCATGTGATCACATTTGTGACCTTCTGACAAGCAAAGTCAATGGGGAAGCCAAATTCACTTAACAACTGTGTTACTAATTTAACAACTGCAATGATTCACTTAACAACAGTGGTAAGAAAGGTCGTGAAATGGGGCAAAATTCACTTAACAACTATTGTGGTTAGCAACAGAAATTTTGTGCTCAATTGTATGTCGAGCAGAAATTCAATTAATCCACCCCTAAGATGAGAACTAAATTATTTATTCCCACCCTGTCTGCTAAGCTTGTCTGTCTTCGTTCCTTTCAATTTTTTTTCCTCGAATGATGATTGACAGATATAGTAAAAGGAGAAGATGGAGAAGTGGCAGGAAGGTATACAAAAGGAAGATGACAGATTCTGGATCTTTAAAAATAAGCACTTATAAGGTTCTATAGAATGCTGAGTACTAATACAAGTTTTATCTGGAGGTGACTAAGTTCCTGTTTCCAACATGTCATAAATTTCATTATAAATAGGATGGAAAGAACTCGAATTAGGCCAGTGTGAATAGGGATTAGTAGGTAAAATTGACAAAACTGTCTGTCCAAGCTTTGGAATCCTTAACTTGTAAAAAAAAATAGTAATCAGTCATGTTTGTGGTTTTCTCTCTCTTTCTCTCTCTCTCTCTCTCTCCCTTCCTTCCTCTCCCTCCCTCCCTCTCTCTCTCCCCCTTCCTCTCTTCCTCTCCTTCTCTCTCTCTCCTCCTCCCTCCCTTTCTTCCTCCCTCCCCTTTAACAGATAAATGCAGGCAAATACAATTTTGTTCTAAAAATCAATTTATATATATACACACACAAACTGGCCATTACTGCAGGATTGAACCATTTTTATGTGCATCACACATACAGTACAGGTTGAAAAGGAAAAGGGCATTGATTTTACAGTTATGCCTCTATCTTGATCTTTTTTACTTTTTTGACTTCCTATAATTTAGTTCATTTTTTTTGTAATCTTATAGATGAAAAGGAAATGGAAAAGGCAATGGTTTGATCAAATTGTGCATCTTTATGTTGGGATTGTTCATAGGGTATTTTATAAATTTTAATGTCTTTCTTGTTCTGTTTAATTGTTTAATTGCCCTTCACTCTTCTACATTTTTCTTTTCTTTGTATTAAACATCTTAAAACATTGTGAAGAAGCTGTCCACCCAGACAATTGTGACTGTTGAGTAGATGAAAAGCAAAAGAAATAAAAGCTTCCCAATTAGCTGGGGTAATTGGGGATCAATAAAAAATGAAGATTAGAACCACCTGAAGCCTTTTTCAAAGCCACTGACTTACATAGAGATCTTGGCTCTAGTCTCTTAAAAATTGTGCAGATGCTTGTAGTTACTTTGTCAGGTCTGTGCTTGGTTTAAGGCCCAGTACGTGGCTATTAGCCCCAAGAAGCTATGGTAGTTAGCAGATGTTTGTGTGGGTGCATCGCACAAAATAATAAAATGTTAGGTCAACTATGAAAGAAGGGTGAAGGAGGATCCTTGGACCAAAACAGGATCTTATAATTATCATGTAATATTATCTGCATAAACCTGGGTAGATTTACAAGAGACACTCATCTTATCCTAATGGGATTTATGAAGCTGCATTGGGGTAGATGCTTACTCTGTGCTACCCTATAGTTATACTGGAGACCATTGTAATCCTGGGACAAGGGCAAGAACAAGAGATTTATGTAGCTGGACAGTGCAAACGACTCACAACTGGAGCACCTTTGAAAAGATGAGACCCATGACTGAGCCTTACAGAATCAGCAGGGAATTGGACTAGATAGAAGACCTGCAAGATCCCTCCCTACCCTTTAATTCTATGAAATTGATCTTTTGCCAATCACAACTACCTATTTATTTGGGGGCCACATCTCCAAATGAAGAGCCTCTTTATTTTTGAAGAAGTTGTGTCCAGGTTATATCCTGCATCCAGAAGCTTGTTTTCTCGGGAAGATAGCTTTTCATGAAAGTTTTTCATCATGCTAGCTTCCTATTTAATTATTTCATTATTATTAAAAGAATGGTGGGAGAAAGAGGTTCAGCAGGAACCTCCTAGTTTCTCAGACTGTAATGTAGACAGCAGGAGATCTGTGCTTTCAGACTCGCAAGATTTTGTTAATGAAGCCTTACAATAAAATAGAATTAACTCGTCTGATCTGCCTGGGAAGACTGACATCAATATTGGAAGTCTGAAAGTGCAAATCTCCTACTGTCTCCTTTATAGCTTGAGAATAGCAATAGCATTTAGACTTATATACCGCTTCACAGTGCTTTACAGCCCTCTCTAAGTGGTTTACAGAGTCTGCATATTGCCCCCCACAATCTGGGTCCTCCTCTTACTGAGGATGGAAGGCTGAGTCAACCTTGAGCCGGTGAGAATCAAACTGACAAACTGCTGGCAGCTGGCGGTCAGCAGAAGCAGCATGTAGTACTGCATTCTAACCACTGTACCACAATGGCGCTTGAAACTAGGGAGGCTCCCTTCTGAACCTCTTTCTCCGCCCATTATACAACTGTGGGCTATGCCCTCTCTTATTTGACTGTTACCTAGGCAGCATTTCTTCCTGCATCCTTCAAGATCTTTCTCACGTGCCATTGCAATATACTATAAAGCAGGAGCTAAGCGTTCATCACAGAAAGTTGGAGGAAAGCCTACCTTGAAGTGTAGGCAGATAGAACTTTGGAAGATATGTTGGGGTGGGAATAATCGGGCATCAATAGGTGAATTTTTCATCTTTTTTTCTTTCAGGATCATCGAAACAAGCACGATTCAGCAGGAGAGGCTCCAGGCTATAGCGGTAGGTTCTTCTTGCATTGAATCCTATTTGTACCTCCTTATAATTATATCGTGTGCATTTGCTTAATACTCAGTGCTAAACACTTTCGAAACTTTCATGTTTTTGAAATGCAAAGTATTACACCAGAGTTCTAAGCAGCTCTATTAGGTAAGTATTAGCATCCTGATGACTCAACTTTGGTTGAATGACAGGGTAAACTTTTCACCAGTAAGACTGTGGAATCAGTTCCTGAGTGTACAGTTTGGATAGCCTGAATCACCAAGATGGCAGGACACTAATATTACACTTGTGGAGCCAATTGACATAACTTGATCCCCAGGAAAAAATAAAACAAAATTCAAACAGGAGAGGGGGGTAGATTAAAACAATGCTTTAATTGTTATTTGCCAGTGAAAAAACAGGCCAGAAGGCTGCCTGGTTGTTCTATTGAGCTAATAATTGTCAATTACAGACAGAAAACAAGCTGGCTGGGTGATTGATCCATATTTTGACAGCAATCAGGGAAGATGTGCTGTTTGTAGCATCTGAACAATCCCAGTACCATTGGTACACAAGTTCCACCCTGCAGCGGTGTCAAATGAAGGAGTGGCTTGTGTGGTGATGTCACTGATATATAGAGTTTTCCAACCTTGTTGGATTTTGCTGAAAGATACCTTGGTGTTGGATGTTGGGCATTAATGGTGAGGTTGGTGTAGGAGAAGAGCAGGCAGAAGTGGGAGGTGGAGTTAAACGCACTATCAATTTAAGGGGTTTTTTTGCCACAAAAGATCCAAGTCCACCCCCACCCCCTTGAATTCTGTTCACCCTTATTGAGTGCCAATTTAGTGCTGGCCAGTACTTGACATGTCTAGTGTATAGGCTTGAATCAATCTTTTATGTTGCAACTTACAAATGGTCTTGATTCTTTGTGCTGGACATTAGGCCTCGTAAAAGACCCACCTCAGGTCCTACAGCAGTGCTTCTCAACCTTGACAATTTTAAGGCATGTGGACTTCAACTCCCAAAATTCCACAGCCAGCAATGCTGGCTGTGGAATTCTGGGAGTTGAAGTCCACATGCCTTAAAATTGACAAGGTTGAGAAACACTGTCCTACAGTGTATGGTTCACAGTGCCCTTTTCCAGAACAGCAGCTTAGGTCTGAAGAGTTTTGAGCTTCGAGACTTCTTTCTGGGAAAAACCAGTAAGATACACACACACACACCCCAAATATTATAGGACTCTTCCAACAGTTGCATGAAAATGGTATTTGATCAAAATGGCCTCTATGCCTGTTCCTGGTTGTTATTGGGAAGCAGTTTGGAGTCCTGATGTTGTGTGTGTTTGTGTGTGAGAGACAGAGAGAGAGGGAGAGGGAGGGGGGGAGAGAGAGTGGGGAGAAAGAGAGAATGGGAGAGAGAGAGAGAGAGAGAGAGAGAGAGAGAGAGAGAGAGAGAGAGATCAGCTTTACTAAACAAATTATGAAGGGAATGAATATCAGAGTCCTTCAGGCTCAATTCCAAAGCTGCAGATCTATTGCCTGCTTTTCCTGGGATCAATAGATGCTGCTGTTTAGAAAAACAAGCAGGCTTGTAACCAACAAAGCAAGGATTCATTCTGACTAGGAAGAAGAGGATGCAAACTCTGCTTACAACCACCCTTCACAAAATTTGTTTGATTCAGACTGCACTGTATCCCAACTACTTGAGGTTCACAGAGGTAGTTGCCAAATTATTCCACTTTTTTTTCTGCTCCTCAGGTATTGACTCTGATTGTCAATGCTGCTAACATCGGATGTTTTTGCATTGACAACAAAGGGAAATGTAGCCATCTTTTACCTTTTGCTTTTAGAGTTAGATGATGCTGGGAGGGGGGATGTGAACGAGAGTCCAGCTAGACATAATAACACTAGACCTAGCGTGAGAAAACAAGGTTATTGTAACCAGAGCTGATAAGGAATTGGCCGGGCTGGAGAACTGGAGATGAGACCCGTGCTTCAAGCTAATTGGGGAATGTGATTTATGACTGTTAATTGTAGGAGGGAATTGTGCTTTGATACTATGTGCTCAGGGGAGGGGAATTCAGTTTTTGGCTTCGATTATGCAGTGCCAATGTTATGCTACTCAAAATAAAGATTCTTTAAGGTAAACAATGCCTCAAAGTTCTTTTGAAGAGTTTCATCCGTTGGAACCATGACACTGATTCTGAATGCTGCCCTTAAAGAAATATTCTGATCAAAAGGAATGGGTTCATATAAGGGCCATGTAGACAGTCAAGGGATTAGAAACTGCAAGTCGTCCTCAATTTACAACCATTCATTTAGTTACTATTTGAAGTTACAACAGTAGTGAAAGAAGAGACTGACGACCAATCCTCACACTTTACAAAACTGTCACAGCATCTCCGTGGGTCATGTGATCAAAGTTTGGATGCTTGGCAACTGGCATGTATTTCCAACAATTGCAAGCATCCTGTGGTCATGTGATCACCATTTGCAACTTTTCCAGCTGGCTTCGCGCCAACAAAATCAAGGCTGGGAAGCCAGATTCACTTAATGACCATGGGATTCATTTAACAACCGTAAGCGAAAAGGTCATCAAAGTGGTCGGGATTCACTTAACAACCACCTTGCTTAGCAACTGAAATTGTGGTTCCCAACTGTGGTTGTAAGTCGAGGATTATCTTCCGTTCTATGAAGAGAAATGGAAGAAAGTGGAAATGTTTAGTCTTGAAAAGTTAAAATACTGTAAGGGAACACAGCTTCCACTGGTGGACGGGTCAGCAGAGAGGATAAGAGAGGATTTCTAGGTGATTGCAGGATCTTTCATAACTGAACGGGATTAGTTATTTTGAGCAATAAAAAGAAGAGAGAAAGCAAGAAAGGAAACTATCATGAAAAAAAGAGTTGGGGAAAAGTGTCTTCCTGAAACAAAGGCAGCTAATATGAGACTCAGCATGAAGGAAAATTCCCCTCCAGTTTTTCTCAGAAGAAAAAAAAAAAGATCTCTTAAAAAAGAAAGAACCCTGCAATGACTTTTTCAAATAAAATGTACTTCGTTTACAACTTGGCATCACAAACAGGCTAAAATGGAAAAGCTTGTAAAAAGAAGTTGAACTTAGGAGAAAAGCTGCTAGAACAAGGAGACAGAAATAGAGAACACAATTTCACTCTCACAAAAATGCCTTGAGTTTTCTGGTAAAAATAATAAAGCCAGGATAGAAATAAATCAGAATTAAATAAAAACAGAGGAATGCACCTGGCAAAGCTGGCCTGGGTGCCCAATGAATAGAATCAAGCACATACATTAAGAGAAGGAAAGCTGTGCAGATTATCTGGATATCTCCTTAAAGACGGGAACCCAGAAATGAAAAACTAGATGGCACCAGCCAAGATGCTGCTATGGAGGGTACAAATCCCTGAAGAAGACCAGGCAGACACCTTGGTCTGGAAATCTCTTTGGACAAGTCAAAGAAACAGATTTCACTTACCTAGTAAGACCAAGACATCACAGCAGACTTGATTAAACTCCTATGGCAGTGGTGGCGAACCTATGGCACGGGTGCCAGAGGTGGCACTCAGAGCCCTCTCTGTGGGCATGCGCACCATCGCCCCAGTCCTAGGCCTTCAGCTGGGTTTTATAAAACCTTTTCGCTTTAGGCCTCCACTGCCGTGTGCAAAAAAAAAAAAAAAGGTTCAATCAATCAGACAATTTCAACTTCTCATGGGAAAAAAAAGATCTTGCAAAGTTGAAATTGATTGATTGAACTTTTTAGTCCCACCCAGTCTGCCATTACCACTGCAGCCACGCCTACCCAATTGGCCACACCCACTCAATTGGCCACACCCACCCGGCACCCGACGATGCATAAGTGAGTTTTGGGTTGCAGTTTGGGCACTCGGTCTCTAAAAGGTTCGCCATCACTGTCCTATGGTGACAGAGAATGGATGCTCAAAGTCAAGGGACTTGCCAAGTTAGGACAATGCCAAGGTGCAATCCTGCTTCTTTCAGAGATGCAAGATCTTCCTTGGAGACCCCAAAGAAGCAAATGGATTCAGAACAAACAGCTTCTCTCCTGCTGGGATTCAGTTTCAGCTTGTTTCACCCCAGAGGAGGGGACACTTGAAGAAGGCTTCCACGTTCAGACAGTCCCCACCCCCCTCAGAGAGGTGTTAACTACCTCCTGAATTTGTCTATGGAGTATCTCAGTCATGGTTGTTCCAAAGGTGCTTTTTCAAGAGGCAGCTGGGCTTTCTTTGTTTTTCCTTGAAGACATTTCATTTCTCATCCAAGAACTGAAGAAGCTTCTTGGATGAGAAGTGAAATGTCCTCAAGGAAAAACAAAGACAGTCCAGTTGCCTCTTGAAAAAGTACCTTTGGGACACCTCCTGAATCCAATCATTTTTAGTTGCCCAAAGAAACCAAGAGGGATACAGATTCGTCCACAGGTGGCCAAACATCTGCTGCCAAGAATCCTATCCACTTTCTCAGAGTGTATAAGGTCAGATAACTTTGCAAGCTATTACATCATGTGTCTATTATACTATGATAGTTCCAACAGTTATATGACATATTTTAAAGTAAATAACTAGTAGAAGAGAAGATATACAAGCTCGGGGTTGAAGATGCTCTCTGAGCTTGGTTGTTTTCTTATAGACGTTTCATTATCCAACTACTAGGTAATATCGTCAGCCCTAGAAGGCAGCTGGGTCACTCTCTGTTTATATTCAAACCACTTGTATATAACATCTGGAAGAGACATCTGCAAGAAAACAACCGAGCTCAGAGAGTATTAAGGACCCACAAATAATGCATAATTCTGGCAAATGGATAGTATGTAGATGCTCCCACTTTTGAGTTCCTCCAATTCATTTCATCTCACCATTCTTGTTATCCATATTGCTGTTACGTAAACATTTATGCAACACTACAAAACAACAAATTTCAGCATGGTCATTTGTGGGATTACATTCAGATTCTTCCTATACAGCAGACATGTCAAACATAAGGCCCGGGGGCCGGAT